CCTTTGTTGGAAAAAAAGTTTTAAGTAGAATCGCATCTTTTATTAGCTAGATATAAAAGCTTTAGAAAAATGGACTCTTTTTTCTGTTCAGTTAAAAGCTGAATGCATTGATTCAATTATATCCAAAAAGGATCTGGGATATTTGATGGAAAAAAATACATCACAAACAACATTGTGCTTTGCAGAAGGATATCATTCCAAATATAAATTATGCTTTCTCACTCTACTAATGAAAGGCAATCGCTAATAGGCAAGATAAAAGTCAAAAGCCATTTCAATGCATTGAACTTAAAACCAATGACACTGATAACTATATATGCGAATGGATGCAGCCCCTCTTCAAGGTACAAAGTACTTATTTTGGAGTCTAGCCTGGCTGGATAGCTATTGGTGTGCATGTGCATGTGCATGTCAGTGGGTGGGTGGAGGTGTGTGTGAACACAAGAGCAGAAGGCTGAGGTGCCCCTTCGTTCCATTCCAGTACATTTTCATTTCTTCATTTTCAAAGAATAACTGGACGCAAAGGAAGAAAAAACTCTACAGATCCATATTACATAATCTATACTGTGGAGATATGTATTAGTATCCATAGAAATAAAGACTATGGCATATATATTTTTATATAAAAGGTAGAATGAAGATAGGTATCTGGCTTTGTGCATGGACCTTAATTCTGCAAAACACTAAAGTTTATTCTTAATGTTAAATAGGTGAATAATGCCAGTACTGTCTCTATTTAGCAAAGCATATAAACACACTTGTTAAACTTCATTCAGGTGCTTAAGTCTCATTAACTCTTATGTGAATACTTAGGCTGTTTAATGTTAGATGTGTATTGAATCTTAGCAGAATTGGGTCTCTGGTCAGTATGGGCAGGGAGCAGAAACAATTCTACAGTGATAGCCTCTCTGCAAATACAGGGAGCACGTTCCAGAGAGAGCAGCATCGATCCAACCTTGGTTAGAATGACAAGTTGAATACCTGACCTAGTGCCTTTAAATAACTAAAGGAAATTAAAGGTTTCAATTTCAAAGATTTCCTTCATCACTTAAAAACATTTAAAAATTATCACCATAAAACTATGGCAACACAAAACAATGTATTTTCCTGATGTGAAAATATTTTAAAAACTTGATTTGGGGATCTCCCTCCCCCCACCCCGCACCTTGGAAGAGATCAGATTAAATGGAATAATAATATATAGCACTCACGGGAGACTTTTTCACATTCAAAGTCCTTTACAACATTAATAATATATGAAACATGTACCCAGTGCAAATGAGAAGCAAATGAGATCAATACCATAAGTTACAAAGTATTGTATTTATTAAAAATATGTTGTGAGAAATGTCCACTGTGAACTCAATACTGTCTTCAAAGGAGCTATTTGTGAAATTAAAGTGACCAAAAGTTTGCTTCGTGATCCCGATTCATCAGGGAATTTCAGCAAAAACTGCTTTTGTTCACAACAGTTTCTGGAAAAGGGGGATGAACAGTGAAGTGATAAAATCTTCAGATGATACAAAGCTATTTACTTTAGCCAAATTTAGAGAGCACTTCAAATAATTTTGGAAGAGTCTAAGAAAATCAGGTGAACGGGCAACACAGGAACAGATTAAATTTAAAGTGTATAAATGCTAAGTTATTTAGAGGGAAAAAATCTGAATGACACTTTTGACAGCACAATGCAAGGCCCTTTTTAACATGTGGCTGTGTTACAGAAAAATACAATGTTTAAAGAATAGGATAGAGAATAATATGGACAATGTGATAATATTGTATATTGTACAAATCAATAATAATGTTTGAAATATGATGCTCAATACTGATCATTCCCTCTACAAGGGAATTTAGGTATATGTAACAAGAATGATTAGGGGCATGGAAGAATACTCACAAGAAGAAAAATTTAAAGACTGGGATTGTTTTCTTACATAAGGACACAAATAAAAGGGGATGGGATAAAATATATAAAATAACCAATGTTGTTGGGATGGTAGATCTGGAATTTGTATTCTCTCTTTCATATCATAAAAACAAGAGGACATCCAATGAAACTGGCACATTCAAAATTTATTAAAAGAAAAGCTGTTTCTCAATATCCACAATTAAACTGCAACCTGCTGACAGGTGGCAACTGAAAGAGGGATTGTAAAGTTATATGGCTAATGAGATTATTCAGAGTTATTTCAAAACAAGTTTCAAAGATTTAGAATGAAAATGAAATCTCTGGCTTCAGGGTTTAAGTCAGTCTGTAACTATACAGGTTTAGAATGAGACATTGGTTGTTGGCAGACCTTCTTCCATCTTCCTACCACAGGAATTTGCACCTTTTTCTGAAGTATTTGACTGACTGTGAAAAAACAGATACTGAGTTGTCTGCTCCAGTATGGTATTTTTTGCGTTTGTACAGAAAACCCCCAAAAGTATCTTTGAAGACACCAAAAGAATATTGCCTACTAGTTATTATGACAATGACAGGCTCAGTCTCTGTATTTTTAGTGGCTGAGTCTGCTTTTGGGAAGGAGTCTCCTGTAGAATATCATGCCTAAGCTTGTGGGACACTAATTTAATTAATGGTCTGTGAAGGAGTGAGACAGAACTTACAGCATGGAGGGCCAGCAGGGCTGCAGCTGTAGCCCAGAAAGGAAGGAAAATACCCACCCAATTTCTGGAGCAGGATCTCACTCAGGAGTGGCAGAGGGAGGCTGCCCAAAGGTATTTCTGGCCCTGAAGCGGGGCAGAGAGGGGTCAGTTCCCTGCAGGCCACAGGGAGAAAGGAGCAGCCAAGCATCTTGGTAGGGAGAAACTAGAGAACATGCCTGAGGAATGCTATGGGAGGACCCTGAGGCAGGCAGATGCCTGCAAACAAGTGGCTAGTGGTAATCTCTGGAGTGGAGCTGCAGCTGAGGATCCAGAGTGAGGGAGTCCACAAGGCCTGAGAGAATCTCTGAACTGAAGTTTTTCCAACAGCGGATCTGGAGGAGGGCCTGAAGGAAAAAATCTACAATCACAGGTAGAGACTTCCTGCACATCAGGGAGACCCCAGATAGACTGTGAACATTCATAGGGGTGCAGGGTCAGCTAGCACATGGAAAAGAATGGACTAAGGGATTGTTTGCCTGAATTATGGTGATTGGGAGGTTGAGCACCGGATCACGAGAAAGGGGTCATTTCCAGAGCCTGACAAGAAGGCTGAGAAACAGCCAGGTTTTTCTGTGATTTCTTTTTGTGGTTTATTTTATTTTTTTGAGCACAGGCCAAGACTGGCCCCTGGAAGGGTGTACCCAAAAGAGGCACTAGGACACCTTGGGGTAGGGGCAAATAAGGTTACAGCAACCTGGCTGCAGAAGAATATTGTAAAACACCATCTGGAAAGTCTAAGCTGGGGTAAAGGGGAGGTTTGGAGCCCCACAGAAGACACAGGGATCAAGACTAGGCAGGATCACCATGGGCATCATCAAAGTCATGGCAGACAAGAAAACGTTAGATCCACTTCCTGGCAGACCTCGTGATCCAGAGCCAAGGTCTACCTTGTCTCCACCTGTAGGTAGACGAGTGCAGGGCAGTACTAGCAAGCCCTATAATACCTACAGACGTCACATGGTCTCACACTTATTCCTAGTGGATAGACATCTTTGAGGAGAGATAAAGAACGTAGGAGCCAGGGGTGTCTGAATTACTATCTCCGTCAGAACTTATTGAATATTAGAAAATCAGTATTAAGGGAACATTTTTATTCTGAGTAGTTGATTTACTGTGATATTTTTTTCTTTCTTGTTCATGAAAACAAATGCAAAAGGTTATTTTGTGAGCATCAATATTTTTGCAGTGGCTTTTTCATATAATATTTATGTTTAGATGCATAAACATGTTCATTTAATGGATAGCAATATTTACTACTATAAGCACTTTCAACCAAAGACTGTGCACATATATGTGTATATTCAGTAGTTATTACAATAGGACCCTGGTATTGATGGGGCTTCTAGGTGCTATATTATTATAAATAGCAATAATCATTAGCTATTCATTATTTCTATTGTTTTAATATAAGAATTGACCATCTACTAAAAAACCAAAATCAGTAACACATGGCTTGGTTTACCAATCATACACTACTAAAAAAGGAAGTCTGCTTAAGTAAACAGTTCCCACACAATTTAAAATTGAAAATAACTTTAAAAATGTCCATGCAAACTATTCATGGACAGTCATGAATAACAACTACATCTGTAGAAATTAGATTTTTTTAAAACAATTTTTGACTGAAGAAGGATAAAATTAGCATATACATTATTTGACTATAAGGCATCTGGTTTTACTCTAACCTTAGAAGAAACCCCTATAGAACATGACTGACATGCAAAATCATATAGTTAGGACTAATTTATATCACTATTTCTTGTGCTGTATTTGTTCTGTAGGTAGAGGACTGTCAGTTCAGCATCAACTGTGTACCAATAAAGGCACTCCGAAACATTTGAAAAAAGGGGAAGACAGTATTCATTTCTATATTTCTACAGTTTTATCTAAGAAGTGTGTATTCACAAAATTCTGTCCATTCCTCAGATTTCTCTTTTATTCATGCTACTATTTAAAAGTTTTATTCTACAAGAGACATCAATAAACAAAAAGTGTTCACCATCTGATAAATACTTCTAAAAATGTAAAATTGAATAGGTGTATTATCATTATCTATTTCTACATGCCGCAAACAACAAAACTCATTAAAATCATTTACACTTCATAAACACTGGCAACATAGAAGGCTAGATAAGTTCTGCATTTAGCATCCAACTTTATCAAAATAATTATCAAACACAGCTATAAAAGTTGATGGATTTTAGAGAGAGATTTTTCTAGGTTTATGTGAAATGCTAGCACAACCATAAATGCTTATAGGCAAAATGTAATCTACTGGAAGATTTTAAAGATTTAATTCAGTTCCAATAGAATGATGGATATGATAACAATCAACCTGCTAAATAAATACTTACCATATTCACTATCGTAGAAAATAATGAATTTTTGCCAGGCATATTCTGTGACCACCCTCAAAATGACATCATTTAGATAGACAGGCGGGCGGACAGAGAGGGTGTAGTCGTCATTTCGGTTGCTCCGGGTGAGCCCACATCCACTCCTTGGAGTCCCAGCTGTTGAACGCTGGATGAAGAGGTGAGGGATGTGCATGGCATCTGCCAAGGACTGCAGGGATCCTGCTGACGTGCAGCCAATGGAGCTGACAAGGGCCAGAATGCCTTGGTTCATAAGGTCACAGGCTGTAAGAAAGCAAAATGATATTCAAGATGACAAGGGCAGTTCAGTACATACAGCCTATTTTTCTGCTGAAACAAACACTGGGAGCTGACATGCAACAGTTTTAGTGAAGTGCAGAGAAGGTGAAATTCTGTAAATTCAGTAATCTTGTCTCCTATAAAAGAGTCCAATCTAAAATCTATGTTGTGCCATTGAAGTCATGAGGCTTGTCTATTCATTTCAAACTGTCTAATGTATTATTGCTAGTGAAAGATGGAAGACTGCCTCTTCCACACTGCCTGGAAGTGGGACACAGTGAAAACATGAACCAAACGTATAAACATAGCCGTCAGAGAACTCTTACAAACATTGCAGTTGAAATCTAACTATCAAATTAACCATACTTCTGAAGGTGATAAACGCTTCTTGAAGTCCAGCACGACAATTCTGGGAATACAATATTTACATTACACACAGAGAACCTGAATGAATAACAGCTCAGACTGTCTGTCAGATTTTGAAGGCAATTGAATATGGTTATCTACAGAAACTTGCCCAGAAAGAACACAAAACTGAACTGCTCTTGGGTTATAAGAGATATATGTTCAACTCATCCCTTTCAGTGTTCAGAGTTTGGGCAGAGGAATTGGGAGAGGAGGGGAAGAGGCACAGTCTTACAGGAAAAAGGATGCTGCTTTCAAAATTTAGTCCAGAATTTATGTGCATTTCTCCTCCCTAGTACTGGGAGGGTGAGGGGAGAAAATCATGCAGTTATTTACTCAAAAAGTAACACCTTGTAAGTAATGGTACAGTTAATGAAGGGTGAGTCCTGAAGTACTATAGAAATGCATCTACATTAATATTAGGGGTGTTTATTATGATTAATGTTAATGCAATCAATAAATAGCAAATGAATTAATAATGATTAGGCCTGTAATTTTAAAGCATTACCTTGTGAAATAAAGCAGAAAGTTAGCTGTTTATGCTGGCTCTCTAATGTAATTGAAAATTGGAGTAAAGCAGCAACACAAGCTAGTAGCACAAATCCCGAGACTGAGAATGCTCAAAACCAAATTATAAAATACCAGATTTGACCACTGGCAAAATAACATGTGAAGTTAACTTATATTTAAGCATGCAAATTAGATAACTGCAGAGTAAAATAAAGTAAATATTACATGTACATACCCCACATGTAGCTGTGCTACTACCCATTTTTACATATAGGGTTTGAGTTGAAAACACAAATGAATCAAGAGATGAAAAATATGGCCCTCAGAATTTTTCTCACAAACATATTGTGTTGGCAGATCTCTTTGATCAAACTGCGCTCCCCTTATTCACAAAGGAACAGATCTTACTCTGCTTGTTGTCCCATTGGCAACCACTGAGACGCATCCCATTGGGACTTATTCACTATGAATAACAATATTGCAATCAGACCCTTACTGATCTTCCCAAGCTAGCAAAGGATGTGTTGAAGATCAGAGAAATGCATTTCTTTTAAAAATTAATATATTTCTTGTAGCAGCGGTATAAAAGAAGGTCACTAGTAACCTCTAGGATTTCTTCTAAAGGAATAAGTCACAATGTATATCAAAATAAAACCAACCAAGAAAACAAGAAACTCCATCATTACTAAATTTAAATTTCAGAGTTATGTCTTTTTCTTGATGTTCTGTTAGTTCAGTTTCATGGATGTCACAAACAAGATTTCTCTGGCTGATGAACTGGTATAGTTCTGCTATGCAATGAAGAGCTGCATTTCATTGTGGGCACTGACAGTAGTGATATGTGTTGCACGATCGGGCCCTTGAAAGTGCTCTACAGTTGTACCCTGACAGAAGTGCATGGCTGCAGAGTGCTATAGAAGTACCTGAACATACAACAAATTAATCCTCATTTAATGAGGGTTCTGATAAAGGCACTCCAAAGTGGAGATATACCTAGAAGATAAACTACTTCTTGAACCATGTGCTAGTTTCTAGTATGCATAAAATAAGAGCTGTGAGGTTAAATTTAATACTTAGAGTTAAAACATTCTAAATAGTATTACTGACTATTTAGCATTTATATTGCTTGTTTGCGTTCTGCATGTCACTCACTTTTAACAATTGCTATATAAACTACTCAATATTTCTTGTTAGTCAGTTTCTAAACACTTTCCTACTGTGGTTCTCATTCATTGCCTGGAAACTGATTGTGGGAGCAAAACCTGGATGGCAAGATATTCCTTAAAAGATAAATCATTTCCATTGTAATTAACAATATAATAATTTTAGAAACATTTTTATTGATGTTAGTCTTGCAAAACCTGATTTTTCATGCATCTGAAATGTAGGTCAATGATATTCCTTTAATTGAAAAAGGCATGATTTCTCAGTCATGACTGTACAAAACATCAGAGCCAAGAATGTAACAGAAACAACATAGCAGCTTTTTTCCTTGTACATTTTTCCTGATACAAATTTATAATATTTCTACATTCCCAGGGAGTCCCTAATAGCAAAAATCATCAGGATATTCACTATACTACTGAAAAAGGTGATTTTTTTTTTTATTATAAAGTGTGTTAACAAAGCAAACCAGAAGGAACTAAAAAATCAAAGAGTTCCCCAATGAGTTTAGTGTATGCTGAACTCCAGGGAATCAAGTCTTGACTCTAACAAACAGCCTCAGTACATTCTGCAAACTATCTTCTCCAGTCTATCTCACTGTTTCAAATCCCAAGCTGACACAGAGGAGCTGCAGAAAAATCTCACCATCTAAGTGAGTGGGCAAAAAATGGCAAATGAACTTCAATGTCAAGAAATACAAAGTAATGCACATGGGGAAAAATAACTTTATACCTACACAGTGCTGAGGTTTGTAGATAGCTCTCTAAAAAAATCAGCTCAATGTGCTGTGGCAACCAAAAATGCCAATAAAATGTTAGGAATCTACCTACACATGCACTAAGGTGTTTTTTTCTAATGCACATTAAATTTAGTACCTCCAATGTGAGATACTAAACAAAATTGTACTATCAGTACTTGGGAGACTCAAGCACTGAATCCTCCCCAGTGGTTCCATTATGCCAAATTTGCTGCCTTAAATGTGCAGGAATGAATGAACATGATTTTCAAGTTAGACTTAATGCGCAGTAGCCTATTTTACTGTGTATTAGCATATCTCACAGTTTTTATGTGATGCTTTAATGTACAGTAAAATAGGCTACAATGCATTAAAGCACATGTATAGATGCATGCACCCAGCAAGAAGAAAATTGAAAACAAAATGGAGAACATCATGCCACTATAAAAATCAATAGTGGACCTATATTTTGAATATGGTGTACAGTTCTGGTCTCCACATCTCAAAAAAGATGCAGTAGAATTATAGAAGGTACAGAGAAGAGCAACTAAAATGATCAGGGAGCAGTTCCTATACCAGGGAGGCTAAAAAAGGATAGGGATCTTCTGTTTGGAAAAGAAAAGGCTTAGGAGAGATGTGATAGAGGTCTATAAAATCATGAAGGTCATTGACAAAGTTAATAGAGAACGTTATCCATCAGTCCCATATTATTAGAATGAGGCGGCATCCACTCAAATTAGTAGGACACAGGTTTAAAACTAACAAGAGAAAGTATTTTTTACACAGTGGGCATGTCTACATGTACAAATAATCTAGGAGCAGTTTACTCTTAAAGTACTCAAGAGTAAACTCTCCTGGGCATGTGTCTACACATGCAGGGACATGCGAGCAGATCAGAGGGCTGGCCTGAAATCACAGAGCTGGCACTGGGAGAGAGGAATTTTCCAGTGCTGGCCCCGCAGTCATGGAGCTGATGCTGGGAGAGAGTATCTCCCATCCTCAGCCCTGTGATTGTGATTGAGCAGCAGGGCCTGGGAGCTCCTTGCTACTGGGGTAGGGGGACATTGTCCCTGCCCGGGCTCCAGTGTCAGACCCCGCCCCAGGCAGCTCCTAGGTGGCAGGGAGCAATGTGCTGCCCCCTGCTACCCACAAGCAAACATGCTCCTAGTCCAGTGTCTACACATGTGCTACTGCACAGTAGATAAATTGAAAGTTAATTTGCTACTTGCATTTTCAGGTAGGAAATTTACCCATGATTACAGCCAGTTACTGCTCAGTGGGCATGTCTACATAGTTTCATAGATTTAGGGTCGGAAGGGACCTAGTAGATCTTCTAGCCCGACCCCCCGCCAGGGCGGGAGAACAACAAAACCCCAAAACAAAAACGGGACTCAAATGAGTCCAGCCAGGTAGGCATCCAGCCTCTTCTTAAAGACCCCCAGGGTAGGGGCCAGCACCACTTC